AAGTGTTAGTGGGATAATAATTAATTAATTTTCAGGCTAGCCCTAATAGACTTATGTTTAAGTTTTAACTTTAAAAAACAACGTTGATTAAAAGATGTGAAAGATGGAAGATTCAACCCATTTTCTTGGTGTCCAAACGGCTAGGTAATGTGTAAATGACTCATAACATCTTTGTAACATGCAGATCACCGGCTACCATACTTGGTATTAAAAATAAAGATGTGGAAGATGGATGATTCAACCCATTTTTTTGGAGTCTAAACGAATAGGTGTAAATGACTCAAAACATCTTTGTAACATGCATATCAAGAGCTACCATACTTGGTATTAAAAAGAAAGATGTGGAAGATGGACGATTCAACCCATTTTTTTGGAGTCCAAACGGATAGGTAATGTGTAAATGACTCATAACATTTTTGTAACATGCATATCACGGGCTACCATGGCGGAGCCTTAGACTTTGATGTTTGGTATTTGAGAGTTGAGGTTGAATGGTGGCCGATCCCCCGGGAAGATGTGGTTAATTGGAGAAAGTTGGAAAAATCATTTCAAATGTCTTTTGAGTAACCGACTTGTGGTTGTCCTCGTATATCTTATCCCGCGAATAAGAAATCGGCTTGTGGTTGCCCATTACGCTTTTTTTTCCCTTGACCGGTCTTTGAACTCATTTTTGATCTATATATATTTATATTTGAGGAAGAGAGAGAGAGAGAGAGAGAGAGAGAGGGTGGCAAAGGCGTGTGATCAATTAAAAATCGTGGCAGGCCCATTAATAGCATTAGCCCATGGTACTACTAGTATAGTCCACACCAAACAATCCAAATCCATTATTAGGTCACATCTACTGAAACCCTAAAATTTGGGGTTTTCTGCTTTCATAATATCACAACCGCATAAAGTTTTCCCCAACACAGCTCTCTACTTCAACAATGGCTTGCACGATCGATTTTCGGCGGCTGGACGAGGGCTTCGGCGGGAAAACCTTCAAGCGCAAGAGATCCGAGCAAGAAGCGGAGAAGCTAAAGCTCCTCGATCCGTTCTTGGAGAATGAGTCCATGGACGTCGACGACGCCAGTGGCGGCCCACCCGGCTCGAAGCGGCAGGCCGTCGAGTCCTCCTCCGACCCCAACAAGCCATCCTTCGGCAAGCCGACGTACGACGGCGTGATCGCCGGAAAGGTGTCGGGGAGGAAGTGGAAGCAGGTGCGCACTCATCGTGCGTCGGCGGTGCTCGTCAGCAAGAAGGGCACGACGGTGGAGCAGCGGATGAAGGAGAGGGAGATAAAGAAGGCGTACAGAGAGAGGATGAACGAGTTGAAGGAGGAGATACGCCAGAACAAGCAGGAGAAGCGGCGGCTCCGTGAGGAGAGGGAGAAGAAGAAGCAGGAGAATGTCCTCAGGTCTGGTACCAAGCTTCAGAAGATCTCCAATCCCAAGACTCTGAAAAAGATTGCTAAATCTAAGCAGAAGAAGCTTCTCAAGGTCGTTCCTGATGATGTTTTCAACAGAAGTAATTCATCCGGCAAGAAGAACAAGAATTAATGTATTGTTTACTTACTATTACATTTGGTTATTGGAATTGATGTTTTGGTTATAACGTGTATGACATTTCTGGTTGAGTGAATTTATAAATTCAGTTCGGTTCAAAATTCCATTTTTTTTTTCCCTTTGTTGGTTGTTGTGTTTCTTTCATTGAGCTTTGTTCACAATGTTCTAAAAGGTGCAATTTTTATCTAAGAGATTATACATTGTGTCATACATTTTGGGTCGAGATAACTTCACATGGGAAAGCAGCTAATATGTTGAGCTTAGACTTTGCCCCAGTTTCATTTCAATCAGCATTAACTTCGAGTCCGTTTCTAATATAGTATTATTCTTCCTATAACCATTGCTGAATGATCAATGTTCACATGCTTTGCCATCTTTCTTTTTGTATGTAGTTAAGTTCCACCGTAGTTGAATTCTCTGCTACTATTTTTTGAGATTTGTTCATCCTTTTTATTGCTGCTGTAGAATGGTGTTAATAATCCTGTCTTCACCAACATTGTAAAAGTTTTCTGGTTTTTTTCTTGAACAACCAATGAGCAGTGATGTTCGAGACAGTTGGTTCCACCGTATGTTGCTTTTGTGTCTTTTTTTTTTTTCTTTCCTTTTTCGTGTGTGCGGGTGATCTTGATTATGATGATTGAGGACCACTAGTTTTTGAATATGAGTACATGAAATTGCTCACTCAGAAATTAGGAAATTCCAAAGTGGAGACAACTTTAATATCTTAAGAAGATGAGTGGATGTTCGTGATTTACTGAATTTCAATTCCAGGGTTCAGAAGTGCCTGAACGAGCACTAAGTTTCATCCTCAGTTTGCCGGTTGTTTATGTTTTCGTCTCCATAGATCTTTCATCTTGTTTGGTTATGGGTGGCAATGGGCATGAGTAAACCCTAAGATTATACTCAAAGACCAGAAATAGGAGGCTCCTAGTGAGTCAAGATTGAACAGGATCAATTCTGATGGCTCTATGTTCAATGGCCTTTTATATTTAGAAGAATTTTAAGCTGCTTGTGCCACTTGAAGAAAATAAGAAACTAAGAATGATACTTATGTACCTGTTGGTAATTTTGAAGTGCACACTCTACCTTTCTCATCTAACATGGTGAAGTCCATTGCATCTATTTGTAGCATACATTCTATAAATTGATCATCAAACATTTACAGTTTATACGAGTTGTTGCGATGATCCTCACCTGGTCCCTTCTTTTAGTTGAAAAAACCGAAACTGATGGAACCTCAAAAAGTGCAAAAATTGATGACATTAATTTTTAAGAACTTATGATCTTTCCAGCCAAAAAAAAAAAAAAAAAAAAGAAATTATTTAACGAGATGATAGTCGTCAAAATGGCATGAAAGAGCAGCTACTGTTCAAATCAAATTTGACGAGTGTATATGCTACTCATAACCAACTCATAACTTTCTATGGAAATCACTTCTGTTCCTTTGTCAACTCAAAGTGCAAATTACAATAGATTACCCAGATAACATATATATTGCTAACACTTCCGGTACTACTTTGTTCCGATGCCAACTCGTAACAACTCCACATTATAAATGGCCTCAATGTACTGCTAACAGAACCCCCTCCAATCCACCCCCTTTAAAGCAAAAAGATGTCTATTATCCAAAGGTAAACAAGTTCTGATTAACTTAGCAATCACTGTCTGTTGAATGACCACCGAGCAATGTATGTTTGGCAGCGAAATAATGAGGAATTTACAATCATCCACAAAAAGGAAGCATGCACATCAGCTTTTTGGGCAACTCCATCTAGAACAGCCGCTTTCGGCACCCATCTGCACCACAAAAACATGGTAACCGCTGTATCTTGCCATCAGGGCCCATGACGCTGTCCAAGGCGTAGCCATAGTCGTATGTGAGCTCCTGCACGAACAAAATAACAATTCGAAAATTTATAAAAGAACAAAAATTCAGGCAAAACAAGAATATGGCACAGTATTGGCCATAAAAGATAGGTGTTCAACGTCACAATGTCAGAGAGAATCGGTTTAGCTAAAGAATGTAAGTCAAAGCATTTTCCGTGCTTTCAGGACTAGCATAAAATAACAAAAAAAAACAGAAAATAAAACAAAATAATGAAGACCATTTAAAATCTTCCCCTCAGAGGTAAACCACTGAAAAAATTAGTTTCACTTCAATAGTTTTATCCTCAGGGGTGGGGTCCAAAGATTTCATTCACCACAGAGTATCACTCTTGAAATTGACAAAAATAGTGCCAAAAGGCCTTCTTACTGTCCATTGGGTGACATAGTATTATCGATCACCATGCAAAGGCTAATAAATCACACATGCATGTAATATAGCAAGAGAGAGGGACCTTCAATGGCGGTATGTTGTCAGCAGCAACCAGCATGACCCGTGCTTGCTTCAAATCATGGTGATTTGAGAGCATGCACTGGACAAAGAGATTAGGTTCACAGCTATGGTTGATGAACCTAGCAATATTGCCAGTTTTGCCAGCATCAATGCAAAATGGTACGCTCTCAGATGCCTCCTCACCAAACCTTTCCAGGTGTGATGGCAAGGACACATCACCAAGTCGAGTCTGTTGTAAAAAGAAAATATTAAGTTACCAGAATTAAATTACCCAGTTTAGAACAAAAGCCAAATATAAGAGTACAGCACATTTAATCCAGGTTTTGACGAATAAAACTAGTTTACTGATTGCGAAACGATTAATTACTCGAATGCATCAAAAGAATCATTTTCTTTTTTTCTCCTAATGATTCTAACCAAAATTGGTTTTGGACGTGCAACAAAAATTTGTATTCTCAGATCATATCAGAGACGTTTGCTTTTATTGTGGAAGTTCCATTATCTCTACGATTAATATATTTTAGTCATGCAAAAACTATGGATCCAAAAAGAATCTTTTAGTGAACCATATGTAGTAACTATCCCTGATTTCAGATTATGATATGGGTTGTCAATGCAATACTAGACGAGTTAATTCATTATTTTTAGCTTTCTTTTGGTTTTCAGGGAGTCACGTAGTTAAGGGGTTTATATCGAGTTCAAGGGCATGCATCACCAATGCTAACAATATACTAATTGGCTTCAAGCTGGCATAAGCATGTAAAATTCAGTACTTTACAAGAAAGTACCGCCTTTGACAAAGGGCGAGGCCGCGAACCCATGAAAGCGAACAGAGGTGAGAGAGATAACATAGTCAATTAGCAATCAAAAGGTGGGCCCAAAGCAGGCATTATGACAATTATTCATCTCGTATAATATAAACCCACTTCCTATGTAATTAACAGCTGTGAATTTTAGAAGCTAACTTCAACCATTTGAAAGTGGATGGAATAAAAAAAAGATAATGAGAAAGAAGCACCATTGAAACAAGGGCATTAGTAGGAAAAGGAAACAATAGTCATTTCATGTTCTGTAAACCTCTCTTATAGGAAACAGGCTATTGGTTTAGACAATTATCACAGGCAGCACGAGCAAACACTAAGTGGAGAGTCAGAACGTATCAGATAGCTTTAGATAAAATAAAATTTATATCTTAAAATCAGTAGCATGAAATGAAATGTAATAGGTAACAAAATCTTACACACCTCTCGTCCATCAAGACCCTTCATTGTCTGGATGCAATCTATGTCAAAGACATAGCTGTTATCCACCGCAGGGTCCAAATCTGTGGTGCGCTTAAGAAGGCCTATGTATTCGCATATAGGAGCACCAGAGGGAATGTAGTCCCATGATCTGACACCCCAACCTTTTCTTGGGGTCCTAAAGATCTGTCAATATCAACATGTATTGGCAGCACATACAAACAAAAAATAAAAATAAAAAATAAAAAATAAAAATAATGATTAAAAATAAAAAGAATGTCGGTCTGCACACACCTCAAATCGAAACCTAGGCCGATGCTGGCTGGTCCGGTTGACACACATAGGCCCACATCCACAATTCGGTCCACACTCAAACACTACTGCCTTTGGTTCAACCAGTCTGGCAAGGGAATGGAAGTAGAATTATCAAACAGAAACTTACTTTAGATTAATGTTGGCAAAGATGTTTATTTTTTTATGTCCATTTTATATAAAATCGAAACAATTCTAATCATAATGACCTGTCACCTGAGACATAAATTTGATAATTTGCGGGCAGGCATTAAATTAAATCAGCAACCACCCCAATACCAGGATTATGTTCACATGTTTCAGAATTATGTTCATATGTTTCAGATGAAAATAAATATTTTTTGGAAAAAATTATCTTACTTCATACTTGGAACAATATAAAAATGAAATCTTCCGGACAAGATATGATATTCAGAAGACAGACACGAAGTATTAAATTAATCAACTGTTCGACACTCTCTTCTTCAAAAGAAAGCATTTTCTCTGTCAGGGCGTTCGGAATATATTAAAAACGATAAGCAAAAGATATTAAAATTACATAAACAGGAATGACGGGTATATGTGATTAAAGCTAACTTTGATGAGTGATTTTTTAAGTGATCAATGAAAGCCACTAACAAGTGCATCCCGGAGAAACTCAGGTATTCCAATCAGATACTGTTGACTTGCATTAGTAACGTAATACATTTTGAGGCACAACAAATCCTAAAGACATGACTTTAGGCCACAAGTTAGGACCATATATCAAATATAAACAAATTTTATTCTTGGAAGGACTGAATTTGAATTAATGCCAAAATGCAACATGATCCGCTTTTAGCATATTTGCAATGTCTTTCGGCAAAACTTAAACAATCATACTCATTATAAAATTGTAGGATACTTTGCGTACTGCAAGACAAATACCTTCCACCATCACGGTGCACATACGGAAAATCACCCCCGTTAAATTTTGCACAAGAACACTGTCTGGCATCCAAGCAGCTGCCTTTGCATTTGCATCCCACGGGAGCAACTGGGGGAACACTTATATTTCTACTGTATTGCATGTCCTTGATGTAGATGAAATCTGAATCTTCACATAAAATGAAATTTACTTAACAAAGTCAGTAGCAACTAACAAGTATATAAGGGTACATATACTCAAGAGATCCACAATTGAAACGTAAAAGAACAGAATAAGAGCCCTGGATCAGAAGGACATAATAAATTGCGATATCTATAGATGCAAAGATGGTTCAGTCAGTCAATAATTCCAAAATCATTTACCATCAGGAGAAACATCAAAGGGGAAAAATGGCACCTTCATGTATTATTCTAGCCAATATTTGGCTTCAACAAGAAGTCAAGCTAAAAACACGACAAATGCAATCATCAAGAAGTTAATTATCTGGATTCAAGTACACATACAGTTACAAACAAAACAAATGCAATTATCAAGGAAAGGTAAAAGGACAAGAGCTGATGTTATGTAAAGGACAAGAGTTGATATAACATCATTTTTATAGCCAAAATAGATAGTAAACTAACCTAATGGTGAAACTGGGGGATCATCAACCAGATTAGTAACAGGGATTGGGATATCCTCTAGGCCCCCAGTAATATCTTGACACACCAAGCTTTAAAGTTAAGAAAACAAAATAACATTACAAATTTGTATAATTAAAAACAAAGAAATGCTATGATACAAATAGTGCAGAAAATTTAATGTGAACCATACCCTCTTATTTCTGACAAGGACTTGGGAATACGACCTCCAGTAAAGCATACCTACAATATAAGAACAATATTCTGATGAAAACATAGAAGATATATACTCTTTCATACACAAGAGGATCAGGTAAAGTCACATAAAAAGGAAAATCCATCAGTACATTATCCAATTTACATTTGCAATTGGCAAAAGAGCATATACATGAATATCACTGTCTAGAAAATATAAATATAGGCCAAAGAATGGCGATGGTCAGGGACACTTGGTCTAGAAACCCAACGCCGTATGATGTTTCAGACCTTAGATCAAAGCTTAGGACCATTCTATTACTATATTATTTACAAAATATTGGACGTTATATGTCATACCAAATATTGCTAGTTTCTCAATATGCTTGTCATTGCAATTAAAGTATCATAAAAATATAATAGCAATAATATGAATTATTGTGTAAGTCTGGACTGAACTCTTGAACATGTAATGAACACTTCAGAATATTTATGGATTCCAAGATAGATGTAAAATACTCATATATCAATCATATATAAACTAAACTAGAAGGATAACTTATTATATATTATAATATTTGATGGAAATAGTACCTCCTTTGTTGTCAAAGGTGGCTGTCCCTCTAGCCGCTTTAGTCGGAACTTATAAACTGTAAAACCAGAGACTCCCTTTTCAGCCCAATATTGGATAACCTGCAAAACTTAAAGTACACTAAGACATGTGTATAAAAAAACCCAGTCAGAACTTTCAAAAATCAGTCATTTCTAGCTAAACATATAGCTAACCTTGTATAAGCCATCATAGGTATAGACCTTGCCCACATAGCTATTTCGGCACTTATGTCCACGAACTACCCTGACTGGCACAGATTGTTCCATACAGTTCTGCAGCAAAATAAATAAATATATAAAACTTGAAGATCAGCCAACAGTTGGCGGAAAAGTTTAACATTGCCAAACATCATGTCTTCCAAAAGATATGCTAAAAACATGCAAAAAGATGAAATCAGATATGAAAAATGATCAGCTTAAGTTATCAAGATATACGACAAATGCAAATGCACAACCACAACCTGCAGACTAAGTTTTTTTATATCCAATCGCTAACTGAACTCTGCAACACAAGCACATAATCCACACAAGCAAAACAATATAACATAAGTTCCAATCAACAAATATGATATTGGACTGACCCGAACAGTAACTAGTGGATTACAAATGATGAGATCCATTAAGGCGACTACGATGGTCCAGATTGAATCAACATCTCTAATTACTGGAAAAACCTTAGTAATACAGGTGTAATTACATATGTGATATGAATTACCCTGATACATACACAGCTCATTCATCATTACTTCACAACTCACTAGTCATGAATGGGATATAAGGTGGGAATAAAGGGGTCCTTAATCCTTATCCAAGGATAAAGACAATCAAAGGTCACACTAAAAGATGATTAAGTAAATAGAAGGTACGTGCCTTGAGCCCCAGATTCCCTCGTAGAAGCTTTTGGTCACTGATTTGATGCCTATCTCCAACTAAATTGTTTCCGCCTTGACCAGTGTATACTATTTCCTCACAATTGTCCAAATCATCCTCGTACTGTCCAGACAAGACAATGGATATAGCAAGTGGGAGCTTGTACTGCCGTATATCCTACAAACCGAATGCCACAAATAATCTTTTCAGTAAAAACAAAAGGAAATCCAATGGGGGAAATAAGTAGATATTTTATTTCTTATAAAAAAAACAAGGACCTTAACAATCTTGATCTACTTAAGGATATTAATTTGACATAATAAACCAAGGATAAACGCAGTGAGATGGAACAAACACAACACATACACACAATCAGAGAGAAGGAAAGAGAAAAGGAGCACCAATACTTAGCAAGTTAGCATCCTTATGTTGAAATGCAAAAAATAACAATGCTGTGGACAACAACCTAAAGTACTTTTGTGAATTGTGCGTTGAACGTATAATAAAGTTCAAAAGTACTTTCAGATTGTGACAAGCAGATGATGCAGCGTGTCTAAAAAATGCAAAGAAGCCAAATGGTAATCCTCAATTGATCAAAGCAGGGACCTTCACAAAGATAACATAGCTGTAAAAGGGCCGAACAAACGATGCAGAAAATAAATTATCTAAAATGAGCAGATGCTAACGAAACTTATTCTGCAACTATCATCAACTTCAACGCATAAATAATGATCAAATCATTACTCAAAAATTCAAATATTCAACTGTTGGATAGTTGGTTATGTTTTTGAATTTTCATAGCGCAGTGCTTAAAATTGTGTACTGGCTCTCATAGAGAATGAGGACATAACAAAGGTAAAAGTTTCGAGATCAGTAGCGCCAAAAAAGTAAATTAACAATTCATTCGGGGGATTGAGTGTCCACTGTCCAGCACAAATTCTGTTTGAGGGGATAATCAACTTCTCCTGGTGCTAAACATCGCTAATATTGTAAGCACTAAGGTATATGTGATTAATCAAAGTTCAAATTTACCAATGATTTTCCTGACTTTCTCGCAGAAGCAGCAGTTTTCCCAATATAATCAATTCCATTAAGCCAATGTTGGTGAAATCCGACAACGACCATCTCAGCCCGAGAGAAAAATTGGTGACCAACATCAATACCTGTCATGGCCAAATTCATCAGAAATTCATCATGTATTTTTTTTTAATATATGGTGAAAATATCTTAACCCAATCCCAGGATGTTTTGGTTAACCAGTAAACTAATATTCTGATTTTAAAATCCAAAATAAGATAAGATTATAGCTAAAGTTAACTAAAAATATTTTGATTTTGGACTTGAAGATTACAGTTAAGATTACTAATAGTTATTTTGTAAACCAGCCAAAATATCAAAAGTTCACAACTGCAAGTTGATGAAACAAGAAGAAATTTTCTCCATAAGATAGTACACTGACTCATTGTGCATTTGTTTCGGGATAAATAATAACAAAATTTACTGAAGATCCATAAAATTTGCAGATCCTTACAAAAAATTACTTATATAAGCATATTCTATTGGTGAAGTTTCTAGAATAAAATATATCAAACGACGCAACGCACCTTGGGTCGCTATGGAAACAGCCTCCTTGTATAATTACAAGGGTAAGGTCTGCGTACAACTGACCCCCCAGACCCCAACCTGTTGGGAATATACTGGGTATGTTGATGTTGATGTTGATGTATAAGCATATTCTATTTACTCAAACATACACGCCATTATATAGAGAACAAGAATCTTGCATTTCAGATTTTCAATTAATAACTAGATGGTAACTTCCTCAATGAGATCTTAGCGACCAACAATCAGGAAAGCGTTTTATTGCAAACCATGACTGAATGCTAAATAAAATTACTGTAGCTCTAGCAAGTTCAAGAGAGAATATACTAGCTAAGAAGTTTTACGCATTTTCAAAGCATCCGACCTGGAATGGAGCCAAATCTCTTGTCAGGATATAAATTAGCCCCTGTCTGCATCATCTGCAATTTTGAAACATCCATAAATGAATCATTGAAATATGAAAATAAATTGCAATTAGAAGCATTGCAATACGATAAAATCTTCGCGTATGCATACCTGCCATAATTATATCAGACATTGCAAGTGTCAAAAATGTCACTAATAGCTTAACAAAACTGCAGATTACTTTTATATATTACCATACAGAGCTGTAAACTTAACATCCAAAGCTCTAAGAATAAATCAGTCAAACACTCAAATTCAAACCATGTTGCAGAACTATGACAATTCATTTATAATTTCACTCACTGCACACAAGTGCCTCTTGTATTTTTTTTTT